AGAGCTGCGGATCTTGTGCCCAGACTCAGCCCAACCTCCGCCTCATGCCTTTTACTGCCTGAATAAGCACGTCTCGTAAACTGCTGAGCGTTGGTTTTCCTCTCAAGGTGCCTATCCTTCTCCTGTGAGCAGGAGCAATGCATGGATTGAGAACAGCCTCAGTTGCTTCAAACTCTGCCTCTCCAAAAAATACTAAGTGGAGTTGTTTAATTTATTAGCTAACAAAAAAAAAAAAAAAAAAAAAGCTAATTCTATGGGTTAAATTAAGTAGGACTTTCAATGGAATTAGCATTACAAAAGCTCAATGTTTTTGGTCCCGGTGGTCAACATTTTCAAAACTGGTAGTTATCTTTAAGAAACAGCCATCTCCCTTGAGCTGGAAACAGTTTCTCAGTGACCTTTACTTTTAATATGATATCCCTAAAGAGGTCATAGCAGGAGAAACCCTCCTTCAGTATGGCTTTGCTGGAATGAAGCCACCGAAGAGTCAGAGGATATAAAGGATCCTTGGGCCAATGCAAAAGTATAGAGCTTTTGCGCAGATGGTCCTGGCTTCCAACCGGTCCCTCCAGATCCACTGAGCCAATCCAACAATTAGAGGGAAATATTCAGAAAGCAGAATCTCGCAGAGTTTCTCTCATCCATCTGCTCCTACAGACTCTGCACCAGGAGGAAATCTGGCTTGGGTAACAGAAGAAGGGTGAAATGGATTGAACAGGGCTCATAAAAGGCCAGAAGTTCAACCCAAAATGCAACCAAACCGTGAGAGCGTTTGGAAAGGACTGGGAAAAAAACATACGTCGGAAAAATATAAAAAGTCCCAACTGTAGACTGAAAAGCCGAAGCAAGAAAAGCCAAAAGCACGGTTTCTTCTGCATGACTTCAGAAAGCAAAATGCACGCCCTGTTCAATGAAATGAAGAGAGTCCCTTTGTGTCTTTTATGAGTAAAGTACATGTTTATGTGTCCTGAATGGTCACACATATAGAAATATTTCTGTATGAGCAAGTATTTGCTCCTGCCAAAACATTTTACATTAATGAACAATAGAAAATTTTCATAGAACTTGTATTTTTTGAACATTTCCATTTTCTACAATCGCCCTATGTAATATAAAACCTCCCTGTTTATACTGTCTGTATAGTACTTTCCAGGTTCTTCTTAAACAGGCAGGTTGGCTTAAATACCTGCAGCTTTTAGGATGTGATCCAGTGCCAGCCAAATTCAACGCAAACTTTCAAGCGACATCCACCTCCTTTAAACTAAGCCTTCCATGTAATTTGTATACATCTGAAGGAGGAATTTTGTTTTGCCTGAAAGTTCGCTAGTGCTTAATGTAGCTTGCATTCTCTTTTTAAAGAAAGACAATCAAATCACATAATGTAATTCATCTACATTATCAGCCTTCCCCAAAGACAAAGCACAGGCTAGACTCTGGGGCTTGAGAGGCATGTGCGAGAAAACGTTGCCTTTAAATTAGCATTAGCAGATATGAGAGGAGGGGAGGAAAAGTGAGGAAATGTTCACTGTAAAATATATACTTGATGGTATGTGCTTGTATGTTTTACAAAGGACAGTGAAGCAGAGTTTGGCAAGGTAGGGTTAGCTCCTGTAATCAAGACCAAGGGATTACTGTAATACCAAAGGCAGTATTGCCAACTCTCCCAACTTATTACCAGTCTCGACATATTACGCTGTTTTCTTTGGCTTGGCTCTGGAAATAAAACAATTTAATGAAAATCTCATATTTTAATAAAAATGAGAAAGCCTAAACTGGGGAACCAAGTGTGGAACCTTAGAGCTTGGAAAGCTAGATGGCAAACCGCTACTTTTCGTCTCTCAAATGTTACTATTTCACAAATTTTAGGTGAGCCAGTTTCATGATTTGCTTGGACTTTGGTTATGGTTTATGAACATACGGCAACGGCGATACTGAACATACACTAGTGCCAGTGGGCTGCTACAGCAAGAACAGTGTTCACTTTTGGACCTGGTGCTCTGTGTGTTTCATGTCTGTATGTTAATAAGTTCTTAAGAAAAATCTCTGTTTTTCTTTGGATCGAATCCCCAGCTCCCAAACAAACAAACTCTTCAACCAGAAATGCCTAGAAACCCCACTCCTTTCAGCAAAACCAAAGAATCCCTGTTTTTCTTTTGCCACATAGAAACTACTTTAACCAGACTGATATGTGATATTAGGGGAAGGGAATTTAAAACTTCACACTGAAGATCAGGGTCTTTGCTCTGCTAGCAAAGAAAATTGCTTTGCTTTAAGAAATAGTATCGCTGAGTTCTGCGTGGCAAATATTTCTCCACATGTGCAGCAAGGAGTGTGCTGTGTCCTTTCTGCTCAGTACAGAGACAACACAAGCTTTAGCAGTATAAATAAAATAACTGCAGATCCAAATATCCCTAATTTTGGACAAGAGGGTGGCTGTATTAGAAGTCCTAATTTAGCAAACCGTGACTTCATCACGACTTAAGCACAAAAGAGGTGCTAGAGAGCCCTGATACGTAAGTAAAGGTGGCATTTCAATGGCTCATGTGACTTTTCATCAAATTTTTAGTGTCTAAATTCAGTGGTAAGTACACCCATTGACTTACTTAACATAAAAATAAAAATAAAAAAATAAAAACAAATGTTGGACCCCTGAAACACAAAGTTCAAAGAACTTGTAAGCTACAGTGATGGATCTTCTTTAGCACCTTACTCAATTGTGTCCAGCTTTTATTCCTCACCTTGAAATATGATATTAATAGGCAAGATGTATGAAACACGGGAATACATACAAGACTCATTTTTGTAAAAGGAACACATACAGATTAAGTTAAAAAACTCTAGGCCTTTACAAACATTCAAGGATGGCTTCAGCAGGTAATGCAAGATCTTGCTGCAATCACAGGAGTGTTTTCTATTCCTTTCACAAAACATAATATACAATATACAATATACATAGTATACATCTATACTAGATGCACTGCATGACACAGTATTGCATGATTTCTGAGGAGAGGACATGAACTCTCAGTCCTAAGACTGAAATCGCACTTTAGTCTTTGGCACTTTTATGTAGAGTTGCACCTCGGAGAGAAATTTAGTATCACCAATTTTACCCTGAACATAAAGGTTTAAGAGTTACATGTTTTGTGAAAGAAAGGAGTAAACTTCAAGCTGTTTTGATAACATAAGATATTTTCCATGAGAGGCGGTCAGTCATTAAATTATCCCATAGCAAGCTAATCTGTAGTCAAGAAGGTATATCCCTCAAGTAACAGTGGTGTACCACTGCGATTTCTTAAGATGACTTTCTGCTAGTCTCAAGACCATATGATTTTCAGAGAACAAATCACATCCTGGATTGCGAGTCCATCCTGAAATTACTTGACTACAATTCTTAGTTTCAACACAGTTCTTGAAGACAAAGCTGAATCTACACTAACAGTGAGAAACAGGCAACAGGAAACTTCTAAGGTGCACATAATGCAATGGATATCGCATTATTTTTCCTCGGTGTCTCAATTCTTTCATTTTGTAGGCGTAACCAAATACGAAAACATTAAAACACAATCTCTGAGCTCAAAGCCACTTCCAAAATTGCCAAGTATAAAACTGTTACTGAACCTTTTGTTCTGTTTATCATATTAAGATACATTTTTTTGATGAAAAAATGCTAGATTGCAAGTGTAACATAATAGAACCAGCAGCACTGCCAGCAGGTCTGAGGAAGAGAGAATAATTCAGAGATATTGTCATCTGTAGTCCAATTTATATTGTCAGAGAGCAGGTTCACATTAGTCTCTGATGTCACTGCAATAATGGCATAATATAACGATTGAGCAAAGAATACCTGTGGGGTATAGCTATACAGTGCGGTATATCTATACTTGTTAAAGTATTTCAGGATTCATTCAAAGCAGAACCAGAAGAAGCAAAAGACCAGGATTAAAAGAAGAGTGAGAAAACGGTGTTCATAAAGACTTCTGAATATTTTAGCCCTTGTTTTGTAATGATGGAGCAAGCAGAATGTAGTATTTCATTGATTCAGTGGGTTCATGATTAAAATAAACGAATGTAGCAATTTAGGGGGGTTGTGTTTCCTTTTTTTTTTTGTTTTTTCTCTAACAAGGAAAAAAGCTTTTAACAATTTCTCGCGGCAGGCATAATGTGCATCTGTGCTCTGATTTACTGCACATGCTGCCTTCTCTAGCATCATGTTAAGTTAGGGTATCAGCATGGTAGGTCACACAGTGGGAGTGACCTTTTGCTAATCACTACACATCAGTTACTACTGGCACACAGCTCATTACTAAGAAACCCTCCAACTAGCTGGCTTTCAGATCTGTTCACACTTTGATTTTTTTTTCCTCCTTTTTCTTTCTTTCTTTTTTCCTCCAGACTAAAGATTATACTTTTACATAAAAGGTTCTGTTGTGTAATTTTGTCAACTAGGGTTCCAAAGTCAAAAAGGCACCCGGTTAATTTTCCATGATTATAAAAGGAGCCTGAAAATTCATACTGAAGGTAGGTCTGTAATCTTGGGTTTCATTAAAAAGGTCAGAACGTTTTTACTCACCACCTATTATTAAAATGTTCGAGGGCTGCCATTAATTTGATTTTTCAGGACACAGAAATCTCACTGGAAATTAGAATGTAATCCTGCTGTTGCTTTACTGACACTTTTCATAGGGTAGGAAATGGCTGCGGGGACTCAGAGCTCTCCTGCAATTTACAATTGGTTACGTTGGACAAATGGCAGGTGACTAATGCAAGACAAACTGTTTGCACAACCTGGGAGCATTGGGTTTAATTTCGGTTTCTGAAAGAGGAGAGAAAGTGTTTCTATTGACGTTGAACTGCGAGTTGTCCCCTGCCAATACATCTGCCACATTTAATACACAACACGCCCCCACCCCCGACAACTCGATTATTAGAGGTACAGAATTCAATAGCTTAAGAATACAAAACACAACTAGAGCAAAACGAAATGGTTTTTAACTTACCGGCCATTTGCTGAATGCCGCTGAAGGCACCCAAGTTACTGGAGGAAGTTGCTTGCTGCAGGAGCTGCAAATTAACAACACAACGCAGCAATCTATCTGACATTAATGTAACAAATGAAGATAAAACTAAAATGAGCTATCATTTCACATTTTGAGTATTTATGCTTTCCTTTACATTTATATAGTCTCTTGCTTCTGTCTGTTGTTGGAATGAACATCCCTAGAGTCAATGCTGTAAATCCATATTAATGTCTAATCTCTATTAAGAAACAGAGAGACACAAGGGAAACTCAATAACATTGCTGCTTTAAAACAATTAATCAATTTATTCTTTTTAACAACCAGGTGTTAAATCTATTTAAACCAACATAGCGTGACTAATTACAACCCTCTGTTGTCTAGTAGTTACCATAACTCATCTCTGTCAATCACGGTCCATTCTCCCCCATCTCGTTGAATCCACTTTTTTCTTTATTAACTTTACGAATCAAGCACACAGATACTCATTAGACTGGTATTTGTATATAGCAATTTAAACTACCTCAGTACTAATATATATTTTTAATTGCCAGGTAAATTGCTGTTTATAATTATATCACTATACCAAAGCATTTTATGCATACAAATTATGTCTTTATGTGTACACAGTACATATATACGGACACATTTATTTGTCTAGCTCGGAAGCACCAGGAACTCTCTGAGTTATCCAAAAGCTGCTTATCCAGACCTCTCAACTCCAGAGCCACAGGAGGCAGAGGCTCCCTCTCAGCTGTGCTGCAGGGGAGTCTCTCTTGCCCACCCAGGATATGTGCGCCTGTGGATTTCAGATTTCTCCAACGGGGCAGCAGCTAACGTCTCTTTCTCATCTTACAAACAGACCAAGGAAAATACCATTTTAAATTTATGAGAAACAAATTGCTTTCCCCTGCCATCTTCACTTTCTGTACAAGGTAGTGTGAACCACGCATGTTTAGCATTGACAGGATCACACATTAAAATGAAAGCCATTTCCAAATGAAGAGGTGGAAAATTAGAGGATTGACCCACATCATTCTAGTTTAGAGGCTGCACCATATAGATATGGCCCCTACAGTGTTGAGCTGCCTATCTGTCCTCCCCTAAGGAAGAGCTCAAATTTTATTCCAGCTATAAAAACAGACTCTAACATTTGAAAGAACAATAAAACTAATGGAATAAAATTTTATTTTGCAGAATGAGTAAACTTTAAATGCTTGCCTTGGACACTACTGACACATCTTGAAAAGCTTATTCAAATTCTCTTCCTTGTTATTTATTTTTAGACCACGTGATAAACACACAGAAGTTTTTATATAGAAGGCATGCTATGTATTCTGGAGGACTTAGCAATTTATTGCAGGGAGTTTACTATAGCTGATTTACCATGGTTCTAAAATAAATACATATAGCCCCCACCTCTGAAATGAACTTACAGCTAGGTATTGTGGTGTGAGTCCTCCAAGACCTGTGAGGTTTCCCCAAGTGGCAGTATTGAGCTGTTGCATCTGCTGTGCCAACTGCTGCTGCAAACGCCGCTGCTCCTTGTCCTTTTGGGTATCGGCAAACTTCACCACGATTGGCGAAGAGCAGCCCTGTGGTTAGACAGATTGGGAAAGACAGAAGCGTTAAATCACACCGAGTCACCCTCGCACTGTGAGCTCAGCCGTGTCCCATAGGGCCACGGGCAATGGCATGACCTGATCGCTCACCCTCTCTCTGTGATTGGCATATGTGGGACCTCAAGGACTAAGATTTCAGCTTCTTAGGAAAAGAGGTTATTGAGAAATTATTGGTTCCCCAGTCCTCTTTATAAAGCACCTTTCCTCAGGCTCTCTTTTCCTTCTAGCTATCAAAATTGCTGCCAGAGACAGCGAAGTGTACCAGTCCTCTTTAATTAAGCTTCACAGTTGATGAGATGGACGTGATGCTTCATCTGCAGTCTGTTTTCAAGGCATCGCCAAAGGGAGAGGTGTCCAACCTCCCTGCTGCCAGGGACCGCACAGCCAACACCGCCCTGCCACCACGGTCCGGCTGTGCGGTCGCGCTCGGTGCAGCTGGCTTGTGTACCCTACGTAAACAGACTGCGAGCAACCGATTTACTGCAGTGCCCATCATCAGTGGGTCACTGGTCCTTTGCATATCAAGGACCCCCAGTCCCAAGTGAGCACAAAGGGCGATGCTGCTAGGACAATTCACCCACCTGCGGTCTGCTCCCAAGCACGCTTTGTATCAAGCACCCTTGAGATGGGAACAAAGGGCAGGATGCATACCAAAAGTGACTAGTTCTGGTGATAGCAGCCCATTCTGGATTGCCACCACTTCTACTGCTTCTATGAACCTCTTGGTACATGATATGGGAGGGTTGTAAGACACCTTAGGAAACAAGGAGGCTCTAAGAAAGAACTAGAGATCTGGTCTGCAGCCTACTCCTCACCCATGTCTGAGGGACCCTTGAGAAGAAGCAGGAGGTCATTGACCAGATGGACTTTTGAGGTAAGCTAGATATTTCTCTTGGATTTCCAGTTGTGTACTCTTGGGCAAAGTCACTGAGAGAATGAGACGTGAATATGAAGGATGTCTCTGTTGCTCTTGCTCTATTGTTTTTTTTCTCTGTTAACAAATGTTTTCATATTTTACCCTTTCAAGTCTTCATTTTTTCAGATCAAGGGAGCAAACTATATACTGCAGTGATTCAGTTCTTCAAATTAATTCAAGCATTTTGTGAGTCATAGAAACTGTCAATCCGTTTTGTACTGTTTTCCAACTTCATTGGATCCAATGAATAACTTCCCTCCACCTGCCATGCTTTGTTATACTAATTTCTTGTCTAACTTCAATCTGAACACAATGATAGGAGTGAAAGGTGACTCAAGTCCAAAAAACAAAGCAGCACTTTAGCCGAAGCGTATAGCATGGGATGCAGAGTGGGGTTATACTTAACCTAACTCTTGCCATGGCTGCTCTCACAACACTGTGAACATCTTCAGAAAAGTTCCTGTCCTCTATTATTTACCAAAAGCAGCCAGGTACCTTTTCTCTGAAGAACCTCACACCAGGACAAATGATAAGAATTTTCACAATCAACAGACAAAATGATGAAATAAACCACAATAATAATATCTCTTGTATGAAGATCTCCCATCAATACTGTTCCTTTAGAATGATCTTAGAAAATCACTTGTGATTTATTATTCCACCTTCAACTCCTTTCCTGTGCATTTCATTGTAAAAATGTCTTTCAGTGTTTCAGTGAGGAAAAAAGGAGATACATACCACTCCAGCAATCAAATAAAGATTATGAAGGAATCAGCTTGTTACACAATTACCTCCCTCTAGTGATTTTTATACTAATATTAAAAACAAGACCCTTTAAAAAAAAGAAATAAAAAAGAGCTGGGGGGTGGAGGGTGTGAGAGTTTTTTCTGGTTTTGCTAATAAAAAAAGCAAGCTGTTTTTATTTAACATGAGGTTTGGTAGCACTGGGCTAAGAACAACCAGAACTTACTGCCTTTGACCTAGATGTACGGGAGAATCAAGTCTATTTCCAAATAAATAGAAATGAATTTCAAAGGTTGAAATATTATATGGCTATTTCAGTTCTCAGTTCAGCAGCTCAGCACTCAACACTACAGCTGACATCATATTTATGAATGCTTAAATGTCAGTAAATTGTATAAAAACAATATCTCTGCAATTTACGAATCTATAATTCATTTTTTCACTGTTTGCTCTATATTTCATCACTTCATCATTTTCAAGAGAGCAAACATTCTGAAGACTGAAATTATATGTAGCAAGTGCCTCTATATGAGAAAAGGGTTGTTGTTGTTGCATGAAATTTACTCCATGATAACAAATTAGTGTCTTCTACTGGTGCTGCATTTGAATGCCTTAAACAAACAAACAAAAAACCCCACAGAAATGAGACAGAAGAGCAAAAACTCTAGAGCAGCAATTATGTTTTTAAAATCAGTTGATTAAACCAGGTCAGAAAGTCAGGTGGAAAGAGTAGTAAGAGAATTCATTATTCTAGGAGACAGGTTCATCTAGACATTAACATCGCCATTGTTCGTTCTTAGCCCACTTTGAAAATTCATCTTGGTCAATGATATGTGCCAAAGAACTGAAAATAATGAAATCAGAAAAATAATTCTGCAGTAATTGGGTTGAAATGTAATTGTGTACTACATATTGTCCCCCAAGCCCACCTTTGTTTGCAAAAAACCATGAAAGAAAAGTGTCCCAAGGATCTCTGTTTCAGGCTGAGAGTTGAGATTTAACACTACCTAACCCAAGTTAACTTTTTACTAGATGATTATTGTCAAAAGCAAGGAAATTTTTTTTTGCTTAAAGGGTGATTTCTGTTTTATGCTCTTCCATTTTCTATGTTGAGAGGAAGCTCCCAGCACATACAAAAGGTGCATCTCCCTTCCTCACTCAATGACCTCCACGTCATTTAGTGCCATTTTCTTCCCAACAGCTGGTTCTGCCTTCATATTTTTCTTTGTGTTGTCAAGACAGTAGGTACAGACTCCTCACCCACGAGCTGGAGGGTGTGCTGCTTCTCTCCAAGAAGAGACTCTCAGCCTGAGCTCAACTGGCACGAAGACCCAGATGTTCAAAGTGCAAAATATTTGGAATTGCCTTGCCGATTTGGGGATCTTATTGATGACGTCTCTAAAGGAGTTGAGAAGTATTTTGATCCAAGAATAACTATTCTATAGAACTAATGTCAACAGGAGTACCACATCAAAATGCAGCCTCTTTTGGAGTACTGCATACAACAGAAGAATGGGAGAATTTGTCTGAGAGGTATTATCTCTTTAATTTTACCATCTTCTGAAGTAGAGCTGTGTAAGATTCATTTTGCTAGACAGAAAAATACATTAAAACACATGGAAAAATATAGGTAAAACACAGTATTACCAATAAACATTTCCTTTTTACTTGGAATCTAACCCAGCAAAACATATAGGTCTGAATTAATGGAGCAGTGCATGGCAGACAAATTACTACGAGTATTATTTCAGAGACTCAAAGTGGCAGTTTTTTCACAATATACTGTCAGACTGCATATATTGTATAACAGCAGTTTCTTGTAAAGATCATTTCAATTACTCTCATCTCATTGGCAGTTTCTCATCTAAAACTGTATACTCAGGGTCTAAAAATGCATTGCACTGAAAAGAAAACACATCAATTATAAAAGAAGCTCAACCAAATTCACACGTGATGTTTGGAAAGACAATAGCTTTGCAATGCCGATATCATTACTTGTAGTATACAGGAAACAGTTAGTGACATTTTCATGCACTGGCTTGGTTTTTATCTTCTCCTTCTGCTCCTCTCTCCACCCTCCCACCCCTGGTCTCCCCCCTTGGCTCATTACACAAAGCAGCTCAACGACATGACGCAATAATGATTGTTCAGCACCCAGCATGCTTTGGGAGACTAGAGCATTGCAAAGAAAAATCATTGAGAAAAAAAAATAAATTGAAAGGTCCTGGTGGAAAAATAAATAAAAAAGAAACAAGTGCACATAACATTAATGCCACCTCTGAGAAAAATCATCACTACACAAAGATACAGTATACATAATACAGTATAACATGCACTCTCCAATGATAAGCTAGAAGATCCAGAGTAAGTAAAGACTTCATACTTGTGCGGTTTTTTGTGCAAAATTCTGAAAGACCATGACAAAAATCACAGACTGAAAAAAAGTTTTAGGATTGCTAGACAAGCCGTGGCATTCAATAACCACTCCAATGAACAGACCGTTAGCCTGCAGCTATATTCACGTGAAGTGAACGGGCTTAAAGTTTTGTGTTGCTCATCGTGATAAAATAGGGGCCGTAGAGGCAGTTTGGGAGGAAATAAAGAGTGTTGCTTGTGAGGGGCCAGCCATGACACTGCTCTGTGGGAGGTGCCACGCTTCGATATGTTCTGTCATCATTAGCATTTTTATTGGCTAGATGAAGAAGGAGAAATTATATTAACTTAAAAAGAGATTCTATTTGCAGAAAAACACATGAACTAGGAACTCAGCGTGGCCTGGTTAAACCTCTTGAGCTTTTTCTCAGAGCAGCACAAACCACAACACTTAAAAATCTACGTAAAAGAAACTAAGATTTTTCTTGGGGGGGTATGTGTTAGAATTAAAGGGAATTTACTCATCAGATATACTCTGAGTATGACTGAGGAGCAGTATTCACAGCATTTTTATTTTCTGCTGAATGCCACTGAAAACAGGATCAAGAGCCGTGTTTGGATACCACACGGCAACCTCATTGTGCGCTTTCAGGTCAGTAAGAAAAATAAGCTTCACAAAGAGAGGTAGAGTGAGCCAGTAAAAAGTTTAAATCTGTGATTGTCATGTGTCTGATCTGGTCCGGGAGAGCATGGCTTTACCATTCGCAATCATTTGCACAAAGAAAACAAAGAAAGGGCAAATGATACAGTACTGTACCTCCATGGTCTGAGACTGGTGCATGGCTTTGATTGCATTCTGTGCCATTGCCCTTGTAGAAAATGTGACAAACGCACAGCCTGTGGGAACAAGGGGACAGGGAGCAGGAAAGACAAAAAACAACAAGACAAAAGGGTTGGACGCTTGTTAAACCAACACAGTCTACGAGAACGGCCACAAGACGACACTGTTCTCAGTAGTACATAAAAATAAACAACTTCTCTAGTTTATTTATCGACAGTGCTGACTTGCTAATCTGACCATAGATGAAAGAAAAAAATTAGGTGGGGATGGGTGAGGAGAAAGGGGGGTTTCCTTTAATTTTTTTTCTTTTTCCTTTTTTTGTTTTGTTTTTGTTCTTTAGCCACAGGGTTTGAAATTAGTAAGGCTCTTATATAGACTTTGGATTGCATAATTTAATCTATTCAGGCCATGTATTAACAATTGCTTGCTATGGCTTTTGTGCAGGTAAATTGTGGATAGTGAATAAATGACTGGCATCACTGGCAGCTGAACTGGGAATTTGAAGGAGTCCATAAAGTCATATTTCCGTGATGCACCAAGAATAACCATGCAAATAGGAATGAGAAAAACTCCACTGTGTAGCCTGTGACTAAGTGTGAAAAGACTCAGACAAAATTCAGTAATGTAGGTGGTATGTCAACATTTAAGAAAATAACATATTAAAAGTAAAATCTTTACAGTTTTTGTTTCTCCAAGTCCTAGATACAAGTATAATTCCTTGATCTATGAAAGCTACCACCAACTTGAACAATCCTGAAGCTGTGTGCATGAATAACTGAAAAATCACTTTTTTCCCTCCACAGCCTTTTAAATCATAGTGAAAAGCCAGCAGGCTAATGCCTGGGCTGTTTTTCCACCCTTTAACTATTGTCAGTCATACCTACACCAGGCATGGTACAGGTCAACCTTTTTAGTACATGACTCACTGCCCTTTTGACTAATAAAAACATTGCCTTCTGAGATTTACATTTTATTCTTCATGCACCCTTGGGCATCTTAAAGAAAAAGACTGTGAAATTAATGCAGATTCAGGCTGATTTTGTAATAATACCATGGCACACTAAAAGCTTAGCTAAAGCAACACAGACTTATTTCACTTGTGATCTCTAATGACTTTAAAAGTGCATTGATTTTCAGCTCCCTTAGCCTTGCACAGTTTGAACTTCGGTTTCAGAGAATAATTTAGTGTTCCACTCAATTTCCTCAAAACATTATTATTATTACTACTTAAAAGATTTCCAAATGAAGCAAATCTAAGCACTGAGAGGGTAAAGCATATTGTCATTTTAGAGCTAATGCATGAAAGCTACATTCTGGCATCAAAAATACAATATTGTTGCCCCTGTGGCCAATGGGCAAAATAAACCATTTTGCAATCCAACAAGCAACAGATTGTTTGGTTTATGCAAATCAATTTGAGGCATAAAATACCTTTTCTTTTTTTGCTCCGTATGTACCTGGTAAGATTATCAAGTCAAGACTGTATTCACATTTTAATCAAACAACAGTAAGAGAAAGCAATGCCTGATCATTACCCAAAAGCACTACATCTAGTCATGAAAATAAAGTCAATGCATTTTTGCATCATGCGGTATTTTTTTCTTTCTTTACTGTAAAGGCCCTTGATACAAGAGAACCTAAGCTGGCTTATGTACCTCTGACTGAGCAGTGAGCATAATAAAATCAGAAGTCAGAATTCTTTTACGCGAACTGCACGGCAGCGTTGTGACTTTACGTATTTCTCAGGTAACGTAACAGCTGATGATGTCTTACTGCTGTTTAGCCACACTACGTGTTGCTAAACTATTCTTATTCAGCGACAAATTTCTGTCAAAGAAAATGATGTAACAAAACAACTTTCTGTATGGCAATCTAGACAAAATGTGCAGTAGAAGGGTAAATAAACTACAGCACCGCCGCTAGATTCCATAGTGCTGCTGTGCGCTAAAATTAGAGAGGCCCAAATTTACCATCAGTCTCAAAGTAATCTCTCTTAAAAACATTTCTGTTATTATCATTAACAGAGGAAATAACACCAAGGGTTTTCGTTTATCGTCTGGCAAATTCAATGGGGGATGAGCACAAATAGAGATATACTGGAGGGCAGGCAAGAAACCCCATACAGAGCCTTGAATAATATTGTTTATAATGGTCAAGAAACTGCTTCATTCACTTCTTCTGCTCTCATTTTCCAGGAGTGTGTACCATAGTGACAATTACTGAATGGAGGTTTAGAATGCATAAGAAGCATGTAAAATGTCAACAAAAATCAATAAGACACAGTTTATGCATTTATCACAATTTCTACCCAGCAGTACTGCTGTAAGTAACTTACTGAGAGCTGTTGCAATTAGCAGGTCTCAAAAGAAAAGTGAATCGGCAGAGAAATAAAGCTGCACTCCTCTCAAGATAAAGCAGACTCTCCCTTCCCTCCCTTCAGCTTTTTCTCTTTTTTAACCACAAAGCTCGGCTGCTGGGGACTTTCAGTGCCCAACGCTACTGCGAAATGTCCCTCCTCATTCCTCAGCCCAGGCCCTTGTGGCCTTTGTCGCCGAGTGAAAAGACCTTCGTAGCAGATCTCTGTAACGGGCCATATAGCAAGCTACCAATTTAAAAGAAACTTGTTCTCCGGGCAAGGGGAATGCCTGATGAATGAGGTTATGCAGCTTGAATATGAGCGTTTGGAAACAGCATTCCACAGAGAAGACAGGACTGCATTTTAATTACGGTTTGCCAGCCAGAGGCTACAAGGTTAGGTCCCCTTGTTATCTCCAGCCGGCAGGCCATTTCCCACCGATGGACAGTGGCCATTTGCACAGTAAATACCCAATTTGCCTCAATAACCATGGTAAAAATTCAGTAGACAACCTTATTTCTAAACTATTTGAAAACCTAGACCTTCAGTTGTTACCATCAAGCACCCCAATTAAATGCTAGCTAATTTAACAATCTTTCCAGATGTTGCTACGTGTATTCACATTCAAAGGTTATTTTTTCAGCTACCAAACCTGGACACTCACACACAAAATTTGTATATTTATTATGTGTGCACATATATTTTATTATGTGCGAAACACGGGATCCTATATATTTTATTATGTGTGAACCATGGGATCCTTTTCTTCACGACCAGACCGCCACACTGGAGGGGAGCTAAGGCTGTACCACAGGCCCACTGACCCACTGAACTTGCACATGTAATTTAGGTATTCAGGAAAGCTGTTCTCCTGGGATGCTCGTATTCTCTGCCACAGTCAATGGCAGTACCTTTATTTTCCTATATGGGGTACACATGTGCTTTAGGAGGATGGTTTTGTTGGGCACCTAGAATTGAATCAGAAGCTGGTGTCTAAGGACACTGGATTTCACTTTTTAAGCCAGAGGAGCTCTGAGGGGCTGGGAGAAGCTCTCACGGATACAGGGGTCTGTTGGGAACGTACTGCCGGCTTTAGGACGCGAGTCACAGCTGTAAGAGGACAAGGCTAATCAGATTTCATGCCTCGTGGCGCAAGGAAACAAGAAAGATTTCCGTGGCCTCTTACCTCATCCTATGAAACACTGCGTTGACTGTAGTGCTGCGGGCCGAGGTCCTCCGGACCAACAGCTACAAGCCAACTATTTCTGTCCTACCATACTGTGTCCCGATACTTCAATTACTCCCTTCTTATTGGAGCTATGGAGCTCTCTGGGAGAGAAAACATGGAGAGAGGGATATTTCTGTAGCTAACGCTTTGAAATTCCTTCATTTTGTACCACCAGCTCCCTAACCCCCTCCCCCCCCCAAAAAAAAGTCCTTTTGTAAATACAGCCAACCTGCAAACCACCTTGCAATTACTTCTCACCTCTGGTTTCAAAATGTCGGGAGTCACTAATAGAAACAAAAGGGGAGGGAGAAAGGAGGTCTGAAGAGTTTTAGTCGCTTCTCCAAAGCTGCCGTCTCACCCCCTGCGCCAGGGAAATGGCTGACGGGGGAAGCGCTGCTTGCAGTGATTTCCTCCTGCAGGCAGAATCGGAGGGACACACCCAGCCCTGTCCCAGAAGATATTTGGAGCACATTGTCACATTTGCCACCTCGGCTGAGAGAACATCTATACTCACAGGGTTGGTCCTTACACCCCTTCCACCCCAAACTGAAAGAGAATTTTGAAGAGGCTGTGAAATTTGATCAGCTTCCTCCTCGACCCGTGCCATCCCTCCAAACCTAGGGCTTGCTGCTCGAGCGATTGAATTATTTGAAATATTTTAAAACGCTCAGCACTGCCACACTCCAGCTCCCGCTTCCCTCGATTCTTCTCATCTCAGGCTTTCATAGACTGTTTTAAAACGTTCAGTCAGCAGTTCATGCACAGTCTAACATAACATCAATACTTGCGAGCTGTAAGTGGAGTAGGGCATTTTTAAGTATGGAAGCCTCAAGGTAAGGGGTCTGATTTCACACCTACGCAAGAAACCTCCCACATAAAACTACTGTGGTCTACCAGAGGTTTTAAAGCCCCCAAACCCTCAGTGAAGCCAAAGGGAGATGCAAAACCCCTAGACCTTTCTGAATCAGGCCTAGAGTTAAAAATGGAAGTTTAAAAACCATGGCTTTAAAGTTCTGGAGATGAAAGAAAGGCAGCTGTAATCAATTTTTACAAAAAATATACAGTGACCCCTCTGACACAGAAGTAGTTCAAGAGATTTTCAAAGTCATCTGAGCAATTGCAGAGCTACGTATGGTGGCCGCGCAGCTGGTAGTGTAATGGTTGCACTACAGCTTCCGAGTTCAGCATAAACAACATTTTTCTTCAATTCCTCTGAAGAAACAATAGTGAAAAGCTGCCAAAATACTCCTGGAAGAAGGATTTGGGATCCTCTGAGATGAAAGCCTCTATTTAAAGAAAAAGATAAGGCTCAAATAAAAAGCTATGGAAATTGAAGCGTGATAAAAATAAGCTCTAGTTGTGTTAAAATATTTCTAACTGAGATTGTAAAGCAGAATTTCCCTTTTTTACACTGTGCTAATATAGCACAGTCTAAAGAAACGAACAGCCTGGGAAACAGGCTTCTAATGAAG